CTTTCGCAAGCAACAGCTGAGTGAAGTTAGCAGGGCTGGGCCAGGGCAGGGTGAACAGTGAGGTTATGATTTCCTCAGGTGCAGTAATTTCCCATTATTCCTTTGTGAGCATGTAACCTGAAACTTTGGTGTTGAGTATGAATATTACCGATAACTGGAGTCATGCTGCTTTTAGGCTCTGGGGATTTTTCTTCTGACAAGTAATGCAGTACTGTCTCTTTCTGGATTAGCAGGGAGGTCATGCAATTTGGATATGAACTCTTTCTTCCTTGCTCCCAGAGCGCTTGCTGGCGTCTCTTGACTAGGATTGCCCAGAAGAGCCGCAGACACAGGCAGAGTTTAGTTTTTTCCGAATAGGAAATTCTCTTACACCGGTTTCCCATACTGCTCATACTTTCTAAGAGTCTTAAGGCTGGTAGGGGCAGGATACTGATAGGGCATGAAAGCCAAAGACACATACCCTCTTTTGGGAACCAGCTGTAACACTGGAGGAAAATTTAGGTCCTGGGTATTCATTATGTCTCTTTTTCCAGCAGTTGCTGCCCCTTTGGATCCGCTGGCAGACAGGTTAACATGATCAGTCTCAATTCACATCCAGCTGGTTAGCAGAAACCTTTTAAATTAGTGGTTTGATTTAATCCAGCTGATTTTGTGTGGGGTGAGTTGGACTTGCTCCTGTAAACCACTCTGCCAGAGGGTCAGAGGGGAGTGATGCCAAGTAGCTTGGAAGCTGTGACCCCTAGCACTGACACAAGTGTGTCTGGAAGATTGCCCAAGCCGTATATCACTTACATGAAGGGATTTGAAGCCTTTTGCCAGGAGAGCTTTTATAACCAGGTCTTGGGAATATGAGTAGCATGGCAGTAACCACGCCACATGCTGCCTCTCTGTTTTTGTGTAACTTTTGCTCCGGAGTGCACCAAAACGTTTTGCATCCCTGGAATTAAATTGTACAATTTCTTAATTGGAAAGAAAAAAATACGTGCAGTTCAAGCTATCCGACTTCATTGTTTATTTTAATTTTCTTTTTCTGTGGATGCTCAATGGAAACCTCAACTTTTATGCTTCCCTAGGGATAAGTAAGGAGCAGCACCTTTTTCAGGCCAGGTGCTGTTAGAACCATCTACTTATCCCCCTGCTCTTAGCTGGTGGGAATTGAAGGCTAGACTTCTGATCTAGACGTTCCGCTTGGGATTCGTGTATCACTCCCACATTCA